GGGGGGTTGCACATGCTCTAAAATACTCGTCCGCCCAACTGTTAAAAGGAATGTGTGTTCTTCTGAACATTACAGCCTCAGTCTTTACAGGCAATCTTATTCTGTGCTATCCAAAGATTATCCCAAGGCGTTAGATCGTTACTTATTATTTTCTAGGTCTTCTCTTCACATCTACTTTAGCGTCTGCTCTGACTCACAGCTCCGCTAAAATATGAAGTTGACTCGGCCGATCACCCCATGTCTAGTCTCTCTTTTACTTCTCCGAGAACTTAGTGGGGTCCATAGTGTGTGAGCGTGCAAGTCTCGGGGTCCGCCTCTGGTGTTTGCTGGTGGCGTGCTGGGGAGCTCCGGGTTGTCGCTGGGAGGACGGGGAAGAAACTCCGCTTGCATGGGGTGAGGAAATACCGCTGGCGGAACTTGTCGCTCCCGCATGAGTGGACATGTCGCTACCACTTCCGCTGCTCTCTTCTGCTGCCGGCAGCAAAGGAATCTCCGAGGAGGACGGGTCAAAAGAGATGTCCACACCTCGCCCGCTGTACGAGTCCACGGAATACTGACGCTCAAAAGCACCGTTGGGTTTGGCGTGCCTTCTTGCTCCGCCACGACTGCCACCTGTGTTACTGATACCAGCGCCGCTACCGCCCTGTTTGGGGTTGTCGTTTTCGATGTGATGTAAGGACTTTTGAGTGAAGAGTAAGGCGCCCCTCCGCTCGTTGTCTCTGGGTTGAAACCTGGGAATGGATCGCTTCTCAGTGGGTTGTGTTTTCGGGCGTGCGGAGGGTACGTCGAGTTGAGTCATCCGCGAAAGTTCGGGAATGTCCACAGTTTTGGAAGGACCTTTCCGCCACGAGTCGTACCGTGCTCGCTGGGCTGGGTCTCGTCGCCTCTCCAGGCTGGGGAAGTCGCGCGTCGCTGACGTGGGAGACGTAGGCAATCTATCGGCGATAGTTAAAGAGTCTGGAATGTTCGATTGGTGAGGAGTTTTACCCGTCGTTGCTACGGACGGTGGAAGTCGTTGCTGTTGATGGTAGAGATCTTGCAGTTGCTGTTGAGTGCTACTTGAATCGGCACCGAGAGCGTCGCACGCCACATAACCTAAAGTTGCTTGTTTCTGAACCGGGGCCTTTCGAGTGGAGGGGGTAGGAGTTTTGTCTCTCCGAACATCGTCAGGATTGCCCTGAACACTGGAGTCTATAGAACCGAGCATTTTAGTATCCTGGGGCCCAAGTTGTTTAGAATCTGTTGAAGAGTGGCCGGACTCTTGCTGGGATTGACGGGATAGCCGGGGGCTCCTCCGGGGAGGAGGAAAAGAGGAAGACTCGCTTTGCGCTGACATGGGAACACTGGCAGGCTGACCTGGTGGGAATCTCGAGGTATCGTCTCTGCTTTCTGTAAGTGTACCGTCCCTCGAGGCACTGCAATTTTCGGGTAAAGATCTGTCATCACGATTCATGCATTGACTCATATCTTGTAGCTCTACTGCTGTGGCTTCCCCTGTCAAATCTGATTCGTTAAGTTTTTCATTTGAATACGGGCGTGACGAGGTTGCTTCAGAATCAAAATCTCCCAGCCGAGGGTTCACACAATCTAACACAGTCACTGCTGCTAAACTCAGATCAGGCGCTGTGTTCAATGGGAAGGCACTCTTGGCGCTACACGTGCACGCTTTGGGCGACTTATCTCCCGGGGCGACATTTTGTCCCGACACCGCCTGCGGATGTTCCCCACCCGACGAATGAAAAGCGGCGGCTCGCTTCGCCGTGTCCGGTGTTAGGAGCGGTTCGCACACCCCTAGCGTGAGCGAGCACAGCAGAGCGGTGCCCCCGGGACCCCCATTGCCGGGGCTGACACGGCCATCGCCCCAGTCCGACTCCGCCAGCGCTAAAGGCGCCCCTGTGGAAGAACCGTCTCCACCGGGGTGGGAGTCCTTTCTGCTGCCCGACGCGCACGCTTCGCAGGAGGAGAACGGGCCGCCCTGGTGATGGTGCAGGTTGTGGTAGTGCTGCTGCTGAGAGTGGCTGCGGTACATTTGCTGCTCCAGCCTCCAGTTCTCGATCTTCTCCCGAGCGACCCGCGCCTCTTCCAGCTGCTTCAGGTACAGAGCCATTTGCGTGACGCGCTCCTTTTTATGGACGTTGAACGGCTCCCGTTTGAATCCTATGTACAGCTCAAACATCTTGTCCTCCTCCATCTCCGCCTGCTCCCGCTTCAGGTAGGTGATGATGCCGATGATGATGCCCATGGAGTAGAAGAGCAGTGTGACCACAATATACAGCAGGGCGTTCAGGTCGTCTTTGCCTGCCGGGTTTGGGAGTGGAGGGACATAGAGAAAATAGGATGAGAGGACATGGCTATGAGGATGTAGTACATGTACGCTGCATGGCGTGTATTTTAGAGTATGTATGTGTGTTTGTGTGTGTTTGTGTGAGTGTGTGTGTGTGTGTGT